TGGGTAAAGACTAGTTTGCTATTTAATGATCCAAGATGAAGTCAGGCTGAGCTAAGCTGAAAGAAGGCACTCGTTCACCACAGGAAGGATGAATTTTGCAAATTATAATTACCATATTAAATGGAATTTGGGGATTTATTACAGCCCCCTTTTGAAACATAGCATTAAAAGAATTCCTGCCTTCAGCAAGGCAGGAAGCTTGATCTCCTCCCTGTTTATTTTATAATTACTCAATAAAATCCTGACAAAATTAGTTGTTACGAGTAATTAATGACCAGTTTAATAAAGAAGGGAGTCTAGCAGATGGTGATTATTTTTTTAATAGGGCCTGCTTGAAGGAATCATCCTGATAGTAGACTCTTAACAGTAATTTGCAGCTAAGATGCTGGTGGCTGCCATCCTATTGGTTGCTGAGGCTGGGTCTAATCCTCGCTTAAGGGCTGGGGCTCATTTCTTCACCAGCTGAAATCCTTTACATAAAGTAAACGGCACTCTGGTTGCTGCCACGAATAAAATAGATCCTATGAGCACACCAGAGGGAGATTCTAGAACAGAGGAGCACAGTGCATGGCTTGTGAAATCCCAAAGCCTGTTTCCTGCAGGGACATTGGGCATCAGATGGAATGGAGGCTGAACCGATCTACTATAAGATCCTCAGAGGCCCCTGTGTGGAAATGAAAGGTAACTGTCGCCCTGTGCTTTTGAAGAAGTGCTACATCTATATGGGAGATCTAGTAACAATTGCAAGGTAAATGTTGGCCACACAGCCCTCTCTTCCTTGGCTGGTGAGCAGGAGTTTCCATTTTTAGTAAGGGATGTGAGGGCTGCTTCCCTGGCAGTCCTGCTGAAGGCATGAGAAAATCACAATGCGTCTGGCAACAAAAGGTTGCCACGATTCGTATAAACCTGAACAAAACAGAAACTGGGGTTGACGAGCACACACAGTAGTTTTTAACATCCAGGACCAAAGTACAGCCCCCGGCCCAACCACACACAGTGGTCTTCTGCTTCGAGCCTCACCCTGTGCAAACATACTCCCCACAGTCGGCTTTAGAATTCTTTGTGCCCTCCCTCAGACACCTGTTCCAGGCTGTTAGCAGCATTTGGAGAGCAGAGACCCTGTCCCCATCTCCATGTCCCCTCAGCCCATGTACAAGTACTTCCATAACTACTTGTGAAGTGGAGTTACAGCACATGTTGATCCTTCACTCAGAAGCATCTGAGAATATTGGGAGCAATTCCTTGCATTGTTGACTCAGAACTTTCCAATTTACAAGTATTCAAGAACTTTCAACCCAAATAGCAAACAGGTAGCAGGCAGTTCTCCTCCACATTTTGTTTCTGCTGCCCCATTCCTGCCCCTATGCTCTGTCCCCAGGTTTGTTCTCTCTCAGTTCTCCCGCCCCTCTTACTCATTCGATTTTATTGTGCTTTAAATCTTTATCCTGAAGAGCCACCTTATGCACCTTCAGAACTCGTGGAAATAAAGAAATACATCAGTGAAACCCCCATTTACAGATAAGAAAACTGAAGCTCGGGCCGGGCACGGTGGCTCACGCCTGTAATCCCAGCACTTTAGGAGGCCGAGATGGGCAGATCACGAGGTCAGGAGTTCGAGACCAGCCTGGCCAACATGGTGAAACCCAGTTTCTACTAAAAATGCAAAAATTAGCTGGGCGTGGTGGCGGGGCGCCTGTAATCCCAGCTACTTGGGAGACTGAGGCAGGAGAATCATTTGAACCTGCGAGGCGGAGGCTGCAGTGATCTAAGTCACGCCACTGCACTCCAGCCAGGGCAACATGAGTGAAACTCTGTATCCAAAAAAAAACCCAAAAAACAAACAAAAAACTGAAGCTCAGAGGTTAAAAGCTTATCACAGGCATATAACTAGCACGTGGTAAAGCTGAATAGAGGGCTTGCCTGCAGGTCCCACCTTTGTTTTTCTAAGAGCCCCTGCTAAGTAACAACTCACTGAGAATGAAAGAGAGAATTAGACTTCAATTATAGTAAGAAGAGGGTAGGTCAGAAATCAAATGGGCAAGGTATCTCACTGCCTGAATACAAGAGAAATGAGGCATCTGCAAGGGCTCCCACAGGTGGGTTGGATTTTCTTCTTCTGGAGATGTTAATCAGTCAAGGAAGAGAGGGTAAGAGCAGGCTTGAGCTGAGCTCTGACCCGGTGTGAAAGAGAGCAAGGGGTTTCCACCCCTCCTGCAGCAGATATGCTGACCACTTAGCTTCTCAGCACCCCCTCCCACAAGCTCTGTTCACCTGGGGTGTCCTTGTTCCCCACCCTCCTCCGCCCACAGACAGCGGAGATGAGACAGACTAGAGAAGACCTCCCTCCTCACTGTCCTGCTTGTCCGACAGGTATGGCCTTCTGGTGCTTTCGTTGTTTTTTTCTCCCCCCTTTTTCTTAATACATTGCTCGGTTAGAAAATATCAGTCTGGCTACAAACACACACACACACGTATATAAAAATATATATAATATATAAAAATATATGTATTGTCTATAAATACATATATGAATATATAAACATATACAATATAAATATACATTATATGTGTATATATTATATGCATATAAATATATATTCATCTATAAATTACATTTATCGTATATGTATATGAATATATAAAATATACATATATATTTATATATATATGCTGTTCTGTATTGACCTCTCTTTGGTCCCATAAGGCCTAATGAGGCAGATTCTGGAGGCCCTCAGGAGGTGAATTAACTCTTTCAAAGACACTGGGGTAGCATTCAGTGAATTACCCACTAAGTAGCTCCCAGATACCCTGAAAGATATAAAGTCTCCTCACAAATTCCTCATGTTCTCCGAGGGAGCGATACCGACACAGAGAATGTGTGGTTAATTGCGTAAATGAGGCCAGAGCCAGCTGTATCATCAGCACCGTGAGTGGAAACGGTACCTGCCACCATCACGAGTGAGGACGGCGAAAAGGGAGCTTTGTGTTGGCCGTCTCCAGTCTTTTCCCAGCTGTCATAGGCAACACTGGCCTTCTGTTTGCACACTTTCTGCATTTTAATTCCCATAATTCCTCTTTTCCAAATTCTGCATTGTAGGGTCACATGCTCTGTAAAGTCACCCAAGCCCCATTGTAAATTATGTAGGGGAAAAAAAGTTGGAAATGTCTTAACTGGCTTTTCAGAACTCTAAATTTCAAGGTTTTTGTTTTAATTTTAACCCTAATCTTAGCAACCCATTCTAATACCTTTCTCACTATTCCCTCTTCCTTCCTTCCTCTCTGCATCACTCACCTCCATTTGTAGGGGTGGGTGAAAATTTTTCTTCTGAAGTCAGAGTTTCAGACTCCTGTCCTTCCATAGGATGCAGAGTATGGAGGTAAACTAGCCCCAAGATTTTTATCACCCTCTCCAAGGGAAAACCTTTGGTCTCAAAGGTTTGGTCTCAGATCTTACCAAAGTGAAATTCCTGCGTTGTGAGCAGACTTTTCACGCCCAATAAGGAAAAGGAGTCAACTTTTTCTCTAGGTGTTTTTGGTTTCGTGGTAAGAAATACAAGGTCGGTTAACATCACAAAGAATCCCCCAGGCAACTGAAAGAAGTGTAAGTGAAAATTACTGTAAAGTACCCTTCACAGCAGGTACCAGTGTTAGAGTTTTATTTCAGCAAATTGTTGGGATCCCATTATTTAGGAGGTCTGTGGACAGAATGAAATTGAATTTGAGCTACTTATTGCATAAAAGCCACGTGATGCCTGTGTCCTGTATTAACATTTTTCAGTTCCCAGTACACCCCCGTTCTGAGCTGGAAGATATAAATGCTATGCCTTTGAAGGAGAGGACATCTTTGCATAAAACACTCAAAATAAATAAATGTACTTTTTCATTTAAGATCTTCACTCTTAAGTAATGTTTGTACCCCAGATGTTCATCTAAAAACGTAAAAATATTAAGTCTGAAAAAACATGTATGAGACCCATTACTCAGTCTCTCCTCCTGCCATTTAAACTGCAGGCATTTCCCCAAGTTTCTCACCCTTCGCCTCTTTTTCCCTGCTTGCTCACTTAGTTTTCTCTGGGTGGATGACTCCCAAATCTAGATCGCTGACCTGTTTGTCTACATTTTGAGTATCCCACCACCATTTCACACCCAGCATATCCAGATGGAGCTCTTATCAGTTATAACAGCACTGCTCAATAGGACTTTCTGTGATCGTGGAAATCTTATGTTTCTATTCAATATAGGAGCCCTTAGCCATATGTGGCTACTTAAATTTAAATTAAGTAAAATTATTTCATTCCTTGGCTGCACTAGCCACCTTTCAGGTGTTCATGGCTTCATATGGCTAATGGCTACTGTATTGAAGAACACAGACTTTTAGCACTTTGTAACTTTCCTATGGCGTGATATTAACTGTGGGTCCTTGGGCAAACTAATGTCTCAAGCCTCAATTTTGTATCTGTAAATAGGACTGATAACCCTTTGCAAGCTGTCATGAGGATTAAATAAGGTAATAATGATAAAGCACCTAGCATATCACATACTAAAAAGACTTTTTAAAAGTCATAGATCTTCTGCCCTTATTCCTTCTTTAATATTAACGTCCAAATATCCACCTGAAGCTTGGATAATGTGAACACTCTCCAGAGCCATTTTAAGAAGGGGTTAGTTTGCACACTGTTGGGAACACCTAAAAACGCTATGGATTAAATCTGGCTTAAAGCTGTAGATCTTTGGTGTTCGGTTGTTGGAAAAGTTCTGAGCGATTCTCTGCATCATGGTTAATATGAGTGTGCTCAGCAGGGTCTAACAAGATTCTCCTAGTTGGTTGAAATTATTTTAGTTAGGGTATTTGTCTCATTTCCCAGGGCATAATAACAGGAGGAAAATCTCCATGAGGCTAGCATCTGTTGGAGTAATGATTGAAAGGTAAACCCATCTGAAAATGCCCATTGCTTCAGTGGATACTTGGGGCAGGGGGAATAACCGCTTGGTTTGCATACCTGAACTTGGTGAAAGAGGCTCCCTGGTCACCAAAAATGGCCTGGGTGTTGGGTGCAGAGGTGTCCAGGACCTTCAGTCACTCAACAAGGAGCCCTCTGCTGTGGACCATTCCTGCATACACAAGTAATAGGTTTTAATGGGGGTTTGCCTGGTTTATATCCTGGCTGCAATCCATTAAAGCTTTAATTACACTAATTAGGGATTTGGGATAATCAGGTTGGCTGGCCTGAAATGCGGGCCTGTACTCTCTGAAGAAAAGCTTTGCTAAATAAACCAGCAGGATAAACAGGATTGTGGGACGAATGCATTCCTGGAAGCCAGCTGATGCTAAGGATTAGTGCACGCCTTTGGCATGCAAATGAAGGCTGCTCCTTGTAAATCAGCAGAAGGTCCAGAGGCCCCTCCAAGAAGTACTTCATTAGCAGTTAAGTAGTGACATTCTTGAAAAATTTAAACACACACATTCCCCCTGAATTTTTTTCCAGATAACCCATAAATTTGTGCAGGCTTTGCATGGGAGCTATGCATGGGAGGAAGCATGTAGGGGAAAGGTGGCTAGGAGATCTTATAAAATATACATTCATTTCAAAGCATTACTGAATAGTGGTTTTATGTCATTCTTTTTTCCCTCTAACTTAAAAACCACCAAAATCTCTATACTGTGTCTAAATCTAAATACTGTACTATGCAACGCAACATACCATTTGACATTATAACAGACTCTCATACCTGAAAGAGTTGGAAACCATTGGCTGATACTTTCAAATTAATAAATGTTCAGTGTCATTCAATGATATAGATTCTATATAACAGTACTCTTCTACAAGCATTTGGCAGTGTGTTGTGTCCCTGCAGTTGTGCTGCTGGCCATCTTAATTGTGAATCTATGTTAGGTATTTCCCAGGAACTATGTTGGAATAATTTCCTTCTCCCTTTGTTCTTTCTTCCATTTTTAAAAATCCCTATAAATTTTTAAGTGATTATGTGGACACAAGATGAAAAATATGTGAATTATCACTCATGGCCTAAAAAGGGAGGAAGGGCGAAAGCTTAAATAAGATAGCAAAATACTGACGTTGTGGCGGTAGTTGTGGGTTTTTTAAAAAAATTATGCCTAATAAAAACTTTAAATTATCACCATCTGCATCCTTTCCATAGCCAAGATTTACACATAGAAGAATTCACCTAAGGGTAAGGCCATGCAACATCAGAGAAGTACTTTTCTTTGGAAATGGAACTGTCCAATCCCAGACTTAGATACCTATCTTAGCCCACCTGTGGACTGTATAGGTTCCCCCAAGAAATTACCTCTTATGTAAGAATTCTCCTAGATGGCTGTTAAATTTACAAACAATTTCTCCTTCCTGGGAAAGGGTCAAGAGCATAGGGCCAGCGCCCATGGAAATACCACAACTCTGAGTGGTCTCCTAACATATATTGAGTATTATGTGGAGCCAAGGGCTTTTCATGCATTTTCCAATGAGATCTTGATAATAACCCCCATGAGGTAAGTGTTTGGATTACCTCTCTTTTATAACGAAGACCCTAAGATGAGAAGGAGTCATTAATTTTCCCAAGCTTGAACACCAGCTAAGTCAGATCAAGAGTTTGCCTTCAGAACCTAGATTTTTCATTCACCAGGCTGTGTTCCCAGCTGTATACTGGATTTAAAACTCTCAGAGACCGTAAGTGCAACTTTTTCTTCAGTTTTTAAATTTCTTCTAGTTTATGGGGAAAGTTACGCATCATCTCATTAGCAGCTTACAGTGAAACCTCAGTAACTCATTTAATTTGCTTCTAGAGGAGGCAAAACAAGAAAACTCAAAAGCTATTTGTAGTTTTATATCACAAAACCTTGTAAAGTGCAACTTCTTTGTTTTGTTAATTAGTCTACGTGAATGTCAAATTAGCAATGAAAACCATGTGTAAGAAATAGCCATACTTATTTGCAATTCAATGAAGGGTGTGAAAGGAATGGAAAGGAGGATAGGGAGTTGCCAAGAGAAAGATATTCCATTGGTCTCCAAACCAAAGACTTGTGGTATAGTAGCTTTCAGAAGTGTTTTTTATTCTTGGCATCAATGATGAAAAAGACCACGGTTTATTTTATTCAGGCTAAAGTACATCAAAATTAATTGCTTCACTGATAATTTATGCTGACCTGTGGCTTTAAAGAGTGATTGCCGGAGCCTGAGCAAGCTTTCATTAAGGTAAATTGACTGTATCATTCCATAGTTGTGAAGAACATATACAATATTTGTTGGGAACATACAAAGAAATCGTATTCAGGACTGGGATTTTGTTTGTTATTTCAGTGGCTTAACTTTGGTGCCTGGATTTCATTTGAGTGTCAGAATTTAGGAAAAGATACTACTGGTTTAAAAAAGTGGTTCTTAAGTGCTATCCGCAGCACAGCTGCTAGTCTGCTGCTGTTCATGAGGACGTTTCCACTGGTCTGCAGTGTCTGAGCTGCCTGGGGCATGTGGGGCCAGGAACAGTGGGCATTCAGCACCTCACCACCCCTTTGTGTGTCCAGCTGTAAGAGGACACTCAGCTCTTGCTCACCTTCTCCCAGCTCTTGGAAACGAGAAGCTGCTGGATTTGAGTGCCCTTTTGTTTGCCTTCTTCGTTTGCTCAGCGTATTTCAAGCAATTCCACCTAAATTTAAGAGTTCTGTTTGGTCAGCATTCCTTGCAACTGAATTTTTTGCAATGATAATAATAGAAAACACATTTAGATATTTTTAAAAATGTGCATCTACAGAATAATTGTAAACAGTATATTATAAATAATACAATATATATATGATGCAAGTATAAAGTAATAACATGAAATTTTATATTGTGGCTTTTCTTCATCAAAACAGTTTAAGTAGATTTTTCCTGTGTTCTGTTATCCTAATCTCAGAATAAAGAACAGTCTTTCTCAAGAAAAGATTTATTCCAAGATTATGATCTTCTTATATTTTATGTTAAAGTAGTTTTTTCTTTTTAATCAGAGGCTGGTGATGATAGATGTTAGTTAGATAAGGTATACATGGCAATATAAAAATTTGCAACCCAGTGTTATTTAAATAAATACTAAAAAAGGTGTAGAATATCCAAGCTATAATATACCAAACAGAATATAAATTAACTGTAGCTGCCTTTAAAAAAAGAAAAAGAAATAAAATATGATTGTCAAGACAGTAGATGAAGAAAAGATCACCTTTTATCTTGTCTTTTTATCTTACCCCACCTTTTCTCTTCCCTCACCCCCACAAAAAAAAAAAAAAGAAAGAAATGAATGTCTGTACGCAAAATAAGCTAAAGGTTTGCTCTGAAATTGGCTTGCCCTCATATTTATTTATTTTATGCAAAATTAGATTAGAATTCTCCAAAGACCAGGAACTACATCCTTCCATCTATGTCAAATAGAATCTTAGAAAAGCAGGCCAGATGTGGGTAGCTCATACCTGAAATCCTAGCACTTTGGGAAGCCAAGGCAACAAGACTGCTTGAGCCCAGGAGATCAAGACCAGCCTGGGCAACAGAGTGGGATCCTGCCTCTACAAAAATTAGGTGGATGTGGTGCTCTACAAAAAGTACAACAATTTGCTGGGTTTGGTAGTGCATCCCTATAGTCCTAGCTACTTGGGAGGCTGAAGTAAGAGGATCGCTTGAGCCCAGGAGGTTAAGGCTGCAATGAGCCGTGATGATGCCACTGCACTCCAGCCTGGCTGACAGAGTGAGACCCTGTCTTAAAAAGAAAAGGAGAGAGAGAGAAAATAATGTCTCTCTTAATGCAGTAAGTCTGTCAGTTTTAGTTTGGTACCTGAGAACACAGTCTATTTCGTTAGCTGTGTACTTTTCAAATTATGTCCACAACCAGTGTAAAGGTCAATCACAAAAAAATACCCCTTACAAGTTAAGTGCCAAACTGATCTGATCAAATGGAGTGGGTTTTTTTCCTCGTGCTGCTTTTAGTTTTATTATTTTGCATTAACATTTTAATGGCATGTTAAAAGGGGCTCAGAGTTTTGGTGATACTGCAAAAAGTTTTATGAAGCTTCAAAATCCACCCCATGGGCTTCAGATCATGAAGTCAAAAATAACTCTGGGATAAGAAGTGAAACATAGGATTATTTGAAGCATTACTATAAACTTTCTGAAATTAATGTGATTTGGAAATCCAGATTTTCTCTTTTCTACTGAAAAGTACATTTATTAAGTTCCCAGATCACCAAAAAAGGCCATTCTATTAATGAAGGGGTGCTGACAAATGATTACTCCACTTGCTGTTTCTAGGTCATGTTTCACTAACTAGCTGTTTTAACCAAATACACCTTTAGCTTCACTATGGAATTAAGTTGCTGCTAAAATAAGAAGACCCGCCACATGAATTTATTAGCAGACGTACGTTCTGAAAGCCATCATTACATTGAGACCTAGAGCAGCCAGATCCTTTGACATGTGGGCCACACATGGTTGCATGCTGAAATGTACCCATTATTTCCATCACCATTTCCCACAGACACATTTCAAATGTGCCATGCACTGTTTTGCTTGCTTACTGGTTCTGTCCTGGATTGCATAGTAACAGCCAGAGAAAAAGAAAAATCCTTACTCTCCATGTTAGACTGTCCTTCAGAAGATTAGATTTTTATGTCAGAAATACCATCATCTGGAGCAATGAATTACCAGATTTTGGAGTGCTTGGAATCTCAGGGCCTATCTGCCAACTCCCCACAGCTTTTCTCAAAAGCTTGTTTTTGCTGAGAAATGACAGTGCCCAAAGGGCCATTGAAAAGGCAGAACAAAGCTTTTGAACTTCAAATGAAGCGTAATTGGATGTGGTGTTCTACGGAGGGTCTGCTGGCAGACCAAGTCAGAGCCTTGTGCAACTTGATGAATCTCCCAAGCAGAGAACCTTTAGCTGGATGGAAGGATGTCAGTCCAGCAGCTCGTGGTATGGAGGGTCTCCCATTGCCTGTCCTGCTGGAAAGACCCTCTATAATTTGGTTCTACTCTAGAAATCAAGGCCAGAAAGTAAGAAGAGGTGTATGAGTTTATAGGTGGGCCCCAGCATGTTGTCTAATGAGACGAACCTTCTTTTTCTGTTGTGTTAATAGT